CTAGATGTGTATAAGAGACCGGTGCCTGGGACCCCCACGTGCGCGGTGCCTGGGACCCCCACGTGCGCGGTGCCTGGGACCCCCACGTGCGCGGTGCCTGGGACCCCCACGTGCGCGGTGCCTGGGACCCCCACGTTCGCGGTGCCTGGGACCCCCACGTGCACGGTGCCTGGGACCCCCACGTTCGCGGTGCCTGGGACCCCCACGTGCGCGGTGCCTGGGACCCCACGTGCGCGGTGCCTGGGACCCCCACGTGCACGGTGTCTGGGACCCCACGTGCGCGGTGCCTGGGACCCCTACGTGCGCGGTGCCTGGGACCCCCACGTGTGCGGTGCCAGGGACCCCCACGTGCGCATGCCTGGTTTTGTTTATATGTTTTTAGAACTGAAGCACGTGACGAGGATATGGAAGTGAAGTTTTAGTCTCTGTAAGCGAGTGTGAAGCGTCCTTGTAATGTGGGACGTCGCTCTAGGGTGTTCGTCAGATCAGCTTACACCTTGCAGTCGTGAAAATTTAAGCCCCTTGCGGACCTGATAAAAGTCCAGCAGGTATGTCCATAGGCCTATTTCTTCAGCGCCGTAATCACACTACTATACTACTCTTATCTCCACAAATACTACAACACAGTCCACCTCAAAAACGTGGTGTGTTTTTACAAGCCTCGCTCGGCGCGCTATACCCGCCCAAGCCTCAGTTTGCTCCGTGTTGACATTTTGCGAGCATCGGTGATACTCTTACCTTCTCCAGCCTGGATTAATCTTTTGGTGATATGTTATTTCAGTTTTAAGCGTCTTTATCTATTTGCATTATTTATGTTTCAACCCTAAACAATCAGCCTGGCCAACCATTAGTTATATCATGTAAAATCTAGAGATCCATAGCTAAAACGACTATTTCGATGCTGATCATAAACATGCCACCACTCGGTGGTTATTATACACAATGGCTTCCTTGCCCTCATCGCTTCCTTACGAATGTCTAGCCATATTTCATGATGTCTCCCTGTTAAACGAGAATTGTGTATATTAACGATGGCTTACTCTTTGGGGTGAGATCTAAAAACACCTCATGGTTTTGATCGATGCTTATGTATGATACCAAATTATGCCCCTTGTGCAGCTTTAATATCATTTTAAACTGGGTAGTTTTCGAATTGTTTCTTGATAGTTTATACGTTAGAATGTGATGACGTCAACGTAGTGATTGCAGCAATTTATTTACAATGCAATGCTTCAAGACAACTATCAAGATATTGCCAGCCTCTACTCGTAGACCTGGTATAAATTCGCACTTACCTCAATATATTCGATACCCCATTGATGCTTTTACGAAATGCACGGCCATCAATATCAACTGTTCATGTTTACCAACTATTGACGCTAATTCCTGCAAGTTTTGTCTCGAAGTCGATAAAATATTATAAGTTTCCAATGCTGCCAAATCAAGACTTTTAGTTGTGTAATAATCACCTTGTCGTATGGTTTAATTCCTCGTTGATGGACCACCACATCCGTGTCATAATGTGTTTTATTATCATTTGCAGTGAATTGTTGATGAATTTCCCCATATCATAACTTAGCATTCAATGTCTTCAATAGGTTGTAGGACATATGCGTTGATTGCCTGAAATCAGACCAAATTAAGATAAAACCCAAACAATATGGTGCACGAACCCCAATTTATACTATTTTCGAAATGGCAATCGAAATGTACTACACAGGTAAAAATTAGTATAATCCTCGTTTCCATCATTCCGGAAACGCTAAATTCTCCGTGATATATCATGATCATTCATGGATCATTTATTCGCCACGGCTGCGCTCCTCTACGCGGAATCTTCACGGGAGAGTCGGAGAGAGTCAGCTGCATTCATTGATTGAACGTCTAGTGCGTTTCGTCCTTGATTGTGTAAAGTGAACTTGCAATTGAATTATACTTCTATGTATACGATGTATACTTTTACCAATACCATGAGTAATGATCCTTTCTAGTTTCTATGTAACAGTAACATAATGCAAGACTGCAAGTTAAGAAATCATACATCTGAAAAATCCCTGAAAACAGTGTGAAAAGTGAGATATTTAATATGTATTTCTGCTAAGGTCTGTAGCAAAAAAAAATTTCAGTATTAAAAAATTTCACTTGCAAAAAAGTTGCACACTGGCCAGGGTGCAGAAAGTGGGTGAAAATTACAAGATCATCATTTTTGGCATTGGCAATGCATCAGCAGCAAAGTTTACTCTTTCAGAAGATCTTGCTGACACATTTGGATTGAAATTATTGCATTTTAGATGTTCACCAGTCTTTGGCCTACTATTTAGAAAATAGTTGAAAATCTGAAAGACTCAAGACTGCAAGCGCACAAAATAAGGATAAGGTTTCTGGTACATTGGATGGATCAGGATGCAGTGAAGCTTGTCTGGAAATCCGTTGGGATGAGTCTAAGACAGTTCATAGTGAAATTCTATAAAGAGAGGTAGGTACTTGTGGCGGTCCACCGCCGTGCGGCAGTTGTAACCCTTTGCAAGGCCCCATGCCCTGGGCCCTTGGTCCCCTCTTGCAAGTTGCAAATTGCAATGGTCTAAACTCAACAGTTTGACCCCATGGTCTCATTACAACTCCCTCTAGAAATATGTGGAGTTTCGAAATTGATATAAATAAATCAATAAATATTTGAACTGGGAAATTCCTTAGTTACTTATGTTGGTTCCAGAATGATATCAATGATGTAAAAAATGACAATGACATTGATTAAGCCTCAGCCATGTTTCCAGCTCTGCTCAGTCCTTTCACTTTTACCTCATAACTCATGATGTTAGAACTTTAATGTTCGAATGTTGACACTACTGTCAAGTGTCAATATCACAATCAAAATTATTTCACAATCGGAAATATGTTACAATATCAAAATTGAAAATGTTATTCACAAATAACCATCGATCGCAATGCAAAACCGTTTCACTTTCCATCTTCACTGCTGTGGATTTGTTTACATATGGCTGCTGGCTGGCTGGGCGGGCCTGCGGACTGCGGTGACGTCACACAATAACACAAGAACACGTGGTACATTGACTGTGATATCAAACAATGCAATATTTCGCTGCACCACAAAAGATAAATTTAAATAATCAGTAATGGAAAATATGTTGCTGGAACATTTTGAGAGACTGTGCCTAAGCAGAATACTATATTATTATTATTATAGTAAACATACTAAACAATAACGTAGTTCCTTTGATTGCCACTGCTGGTGTTGGCATTTGAATGTGGGCGTGCCGCGGCTTTGTTTAGAATTCAAACAATTCAATATCATACTGCACCACAAATTAATACATTTAAATAATTAGTAATGGAAAATATGTTGCTGGAACACTTTAAGAGACTAGACCTAAACAGAATACAATATTATTATATTATTAGTCAACATACTAAACAATAAAGTAGTTCATTTGATTGCCGCTGCTGGTGCTGGCATCTGTATGTGAACCTTCTATGGGTAATTTTAATTCAACATGGAATTATGGAGATACCCAGCAGGCATCTGACGTTGAAACAACGTTGATTATTGGTTGATTTCAGGTTGAAATGTTGAACAACCAAAATTAAACGTCATATCAACGTCGAAATCTGACCAACACTAGAACTGTCTCTTATACACATCTAGATGTGTATAAGAGACAGGCTGTGGGACCTCACTATTCTAGCCTCAAAGTTCATGAACAGATTCTAGAATGACATCCACAAAACTTTAAGGGTATCAGGAGGGTGTTTCAAACAAGGAGAGATGCTTTTCAAGTTTCTTTCTTAGATCTTGACATTTGAGGGATGCCACTAGAAGAGTAGCTCAGACCAAATACCTGCCAACGTTACATAAATCAGTACACAGAACACATACATATCATAGGTCGTAGCAGCTGACAACATGACTATTACATTTTATATCTCACAGGAATATTTCTTATCAACTTAAGGTTTTACTCACACAGCTGCCACATGGCAGATCTTGTTTTGATATGAGACAATAGTTACATATTTGTCATTACAATAGCAACACCTCACAACACAAAGAGGATACAAAAATAAACAAATCTTATTATTATTAGATTCTTACCCCAGTTTAATGTGCTCTAAGTAACAAAGTGATGCCAAGTGAATAAATCGGTTACGATCCGCATTTCAGTTCAGTGTTGCACTTTGAGGAAAGTCTAGATTATTATTTGACAAACATTGTTTATATTTTTCGAATTATGAAATTCTATTTTATTTTAATATTGTCCTCAGACGTATGTGCAGGCTAACTAGGTACCTGTCTCTTATACACATCTAGATGTGTATAAGAGACAGCGCTTACGCTGCGTATCATCGATACATACGTCAGGGCAAGTAAATTGGCTCGCAACAACGTTTTTCACGTGTAGCAACGGACTAAAAAGGAGAAAATAAAATACTTAAAAAAACTTTTTAAAAATCCACGTTTTTCTTGTGGACTAAAAAGTAGAAAATAAATTGTGGCTCGCCCCAAAAAACGTGGGTCGGGCTGTACGTTCACCATCAAATTTCCAAAATTCATGTGTTGTGTGCTTTTCGCTTTAATCATAAATCTGCCCGACCCACATTTTTTGGGGCGAGCCATAATTTATTTTCTACTTTTTTGTCCACAAGAATAACGTGGTTTTTTAAAAAGTTTTTTTAAAGTATTTTTTAAAGCTGACATTCTGACCTATCCAACGGTACCAAAACCATCATTGTATGCTGATTTATGCGTTTACAACAGATCACAAAAGGGTTAGGTGTCGTGGAGCTCTTCAACATTTTCTTTTGGGGAAAATTACCAGCCAGACACATAAGACTAACGTCTGTGGACTCAGCAGTTCAGTCACCCTGTAGCTGTCATGATGGAAGGTGCTCATGCAGTCATTCTCTGCATCTGTGACTTAATTCTAGCTAAAGTAATGCCTTGCCTGGTATCCTTGCTACCAAAAAGGCCTATATATAGCACGCCGCAGGCACTTGGGGGCTTTTTTGGCTCTCCTGAATATTTGCACTTATTGTCACTGCAAACCGATCACCTAGAGTTTTTGAGCTACAGCAATGAGAGATATACCATTCGGTTTGCGAAGAAAATATATAGCGGTTGTTTGTAGATGTTTTCCAATTTTGTTATAGTTTTGAAAATATTTTGGAAAAAAGGAGGGGGAAAAAGAGGGAAATAAAAAATTTATCAAACAATTTACGAAAAATGCCACCCCCCACCCACAAAGATTCAAATTTCATAAAAGCTCCAACCAATCAAAAGATATGGTCTTTACGCATTGAATGACATGCATCTCAACATTGTAGATTGAAAATCCTAGGAGATAGATTTCTACAGTACCGTAAAATGGGGTTACTTTGACCGGCGGGGTAACTTTGACCACTTTTCGTTTTTTAACAAAAACCCCCAAAACTCAAAAACGATTTGACATAGAAAAATTTTGTCAATGGCCATCAAAGGCCTAATACTGAGGCTATGTAACACAATAGAAAGATTTAAAAAGTTTGCATATCTAATAGGTTAAAAAATTAATAATGTGACCCATGAAAAAGAGCTATTATTTAAAGCCTGTCGGAGTACCCCCTTCAATTTTTTTATTTTTTAGTAAAATAACTCCAGGTTTTGGTGCATTGTAGTAGAACTTCTCTAGTTACATATGCAAAAGACAAATTTTAGGAAAGTGTCATAGTTTGCAAATGGGGGGCGCCGCCCCAATGGGGGAACTTTGACCACCTGATGGCAGCCATGACGGGGTAACATTGACCGGCTTGGAAATTAAGTTAAAATTACCATAGGTACCTATATAACATATTTTATGTTTGATACACCTAATAATGTTTTTTTCTTTATGTTTCAGACTCTTCAGTATCTTATATATGGTAATTTCAACTTAATTTCCAAACCGGTCTATGTTACCTCATCACGGCTGCCATTAGGTGGTCACATTTCGCCAACTGGGCGGCGGCGCCCCCCATTTGCAAACTATGACACTTTCCTAAAATCTGTCTTTTGCATATGTAACTAGAAGAGTTCTACTACAATGTACCACAACCTAGAGTTATTTGGAGTTATTTTACCAAAAAATAAAATTGATTTTACCACCCGGTCAAAGAAACCCCAAGAGCTGGGGTAACAAAGACCATCACTTTTTTTAAATTACATCAAAACTATGAGAGGCAGGAGCCAACAATTTATGGTGAGTAAAGCTAGAGTATAGACCCTGTCTCTTATACACATCTAGATGTGTATAAGAGACAGGNTAAGAGACAGTCACAAAATTGTGCATTGATTGTCACCAATAGGTGACAATATGTCACCAATAGGTGCAGCAGGAGTCTTATGAAGAAAGATTGAAGATTATGAAGCTTCCCAGTCTCCGTTATTGTTGCCTGCATGGTGACATCATTGAAGTATACAAGTATACTCATGGTTTGTACAAGGTCCCAGGATTACTAGTATTTGAAACAAGAACCAACACCAGGGGCTACAGCTATAAACTAAAAAAACTGCGGTGCAACTTATCCACACGACAAAATTTCTTCTCGCTTCGAGTCACCGACATGTGGAACAGCCTCCGTGAAGATATTGTTGATGCTCCAAGTATGAACGCGTTCAACAACAGACTAGACAAGGCCATGCAGTAGCATATGTTTTGCCTTGAAATGCCTCATATCCTATGGAACAACTGATATCTAGAAGCGATTTTAAATCTACTGTCCATTGAAAAGATTTGATCAAAAGGCCAGTCTAGTCAAGAAAAGTACAAGTATCTGCGACAGGCCTATCCAGACCTATTCTTCAATGCCAAAGATACTATACTATACTAATAGGATTGTGCACTGGGCAACATAGAATGAAAAGTAATTAACCTAAACTATGATTTTTTTTCTCCAAAAAATATGATGGATGTCACTAAAATATTCATTTTGTTCCACGTATGTTTTTAATGATCTTTTTCTTGTTATAGTTTACTTGACCTAATTAAAATTGTGTAAAATTAAAAGCCTAGTCCTGTAAGCTTACAGATAAAGAGGAAATGCTATATGGCTGCTGTTATGAAGCTTACAGTGGACAAGGTTGTCAATGCTCAATGACATGTCCATGGATACGGTAATATTGCATCAATAATGCAGTAATGTATGGATATGGTAATATCATATCAATAAAGGAAAAACAATTACAAATCACATAAAATGTCATTTATTCTACTTCTACACTATCTACAAAAGAAGAGTAGGACTTCGGAATACTGTAAATAATGGATGAGTAGTACACTGCATGCTTCAAACATTTTAAAATTAAGTTTTATTTCAATCGTCCCTAATTACCCCATTCCAAAGGGTAATTTGGGAGGCTTTTATTTTCTGTCTGGCACCTTACCAATAGCATATGAATTTTTTTTATATATGCCATACAATACGGTAGCCCTTGCAAAAATCTTCAAAATGAGCCGAACTCATTTGTGAAATGTTTCATGGTAAGAGGCTATTAACAAAAACGCTCAAAACAGTCCCTTATTACCCTGGTTGATGATACTTATTTGATCTTGAATTGCTTACAGATACTCTTCCTGCTTGGTTTAAGTTGGTTATTGCTGGATATCTTATTGCTTCCAGTGCGTCCCAGCAAACCTCATACTAATATACCCCCACATTAATCTCATGGCATACAGTTTAAAAGAGTGCAGAGTTGTTCTGCACCAGCTCTCTGATGCTGCAGTCAGGAGTGGCTGGTGCCCTGAGCAGAGTCTCATTCAAGCAGCAACTGACGTGTGCAAAGTCAAGCCTGAAGGTATGCTTCACAACTAGTGCTTGCAAGCCTAGTTTATTTGTGAATCTGAAAGATGTTATATTTTGTTGACATTCATGATTTATTGTTCATTTCATTGTTGAACCAAATCCCTTAGCAGTTTTGAAAGTAAGTTGGCGATGACAACTTTCAGCTTTCAAATATCCAATTATTAGATATATTTGCTCCTATGAATTTCACATATTGAAACAGTAAATTGCAGTTGAAAAATTTATTTAATAAGGTCAATATGCTGAAAAATGTTATATACTGGTATTCAATCATTCAAATGTATAGAGTAGCTACTTAGCCTTAATGTAATTCAATATTATCAAGTTACTTTCATTGATTGAATAGATATTACTATTTCCATCTTTTAAAGATATGAATAGCAGCAGTCCAAGTCTAAATGTTCATGTGGAGTGGTGATCAGATAATGACTAGTGATAAGCAGAGGCCTGATCCAGCAGTCAATGTCAGGCTAAATCAACATTGAAACAACATACTTTAAAATTTTGTAATATCATTGAATGTTAGTCTAGAATAAAAAGTGAATCAACGTTATTTTTTTCAACATCATACATTTTGCTATTGTTTCAATGTTGAAATTGCATTGAATTCCAATGTTAAAAAAACACTTGTAAAATGTACATATCAGGTTAACATGTTCCATCATGAATGTCACAGTATTCAGGCAATTGTTAATGCAAGATTGAAAAAAATGATGTTGATTCACTTCTCATTCAAAACTAAAAATTGATGGGATTTCAATGTCCCGAAGTGCATTGTTTCAACATTGCTTCAGCCTAACATTGCCTGATGGGTATACTGTAGCCTCAACCACAAACTGGAGGCTGTGGTGGGATCGTTTGGGAGGCAATTTTAAGTGATCATATAATAGTAACTTGCTGGCTGAAGGGTTTAGGAGGCAGTAATGATGGCTTAAGTCCAGTATTATGCGATTTTCTTAGCTGCAAGTAGCCTAATGCTAATTATTTCTGTAAATTCCATCCAGCAATGGAGGGCAGCAGCTCATCCCTACCCTCCATCATGACAGTTTACATCAAAGAGGAGCCTGAAGATGAGGGAGAGGACATAACTGTGAAGGATGAACCACTTTGCAGTGAAGAATATGAGGTGATATTTTTAACAAGATTTGTAAGCTTGTAATTTAATTTCACTCAATACTTGCATGAATGTGCTAAATTATTATCTCAAACAGAATTTGGATGTAACATATTTTTACAGTAAGCAAAAGCTCACACAGAAATAAGCTTATGGACAACCTTATAAGGAATTTTTTATTATAAATAACTATTCATGAATTGCTAATAAATGTTATTAAATAAAGGTATTTGATTCACATTGTGATTGTGTTATTCTGTGAATCTTGTGTTGAATATTTTAATTTATTATCCATGGTATAAATCTTTTTGAGTTAGGCCATTTTCTGGACCTTTTTAATTTATTAATTTCTACCAAATCCACGCATGGTAACTAATGTCCCTGCTCTTGATGTGCTGACCAGCAAACTCCACTTCCCTCATCTTGCAAGCCATGCAAGAAAGAGGTTCAAGTTGAGGCTCACGAGGCCTGCACCAGCGCCTCACAGTACACTGCTGCAGTGCCTCATAAGCAGGTTGGTAGAGCTGGTTTCTCAGTACAAATAAATTGCTGAGCAATTCAAATGCTGATGATAGCTGATGATCTGTCTGCATTGGCTGTACTGTGAAATTTCATCTCTTCAGCTCCTATTTTTAATACATTTCTCATTTGAATTAGAGTTGGGTAGGTTTTTCTATGTTCGGAATGTATATGAATTCACACTTTCTTTCTGTTTATTTTCCAGATGAATTCTTTTTATATAATCCTCGTATCAGGTATCCAAAATGTCATTGTTTTGTAAGAGATGTATATACATCAGACAAGACTTGAGACATTTTTATGGTCTTGCATTGACAGAAGTTCTGTGATATGATATCATAGGTATCTATTACTATTGCCAAGATGATTTTTGCTTTTATCAGAAATGTTCTAATGTACAAAATTAATATAATTCAAGCTTTTTTTGAATTCTGTCTACATAAAAAAGAGTAGAAGACAATGATAATTTTATCTAATATAAGTTTGAACACTGCAATAATTTCATGACTTGAGTTCATTGCCTGATTTGAAAGAATTGCTCACAAGAATCTGCTCTCCATCTCCAGGATGTCTTGCCTTGCAATGCCCAGAGCAACATTGGACAGGATGAGTGGATGGCAGTTTCTCCTGAAAACAAGGAAAAAAATATTTCTGTTGCTGAGAAAAATATTTATCCAGTGTCCAATAGAGCAGCTTTAGTCCAGGAAGTTCTCTTTGATCAGCCTGTGGCTGAGTTTAAGTCTTTTGAGTCAAACTTGTCCAACAAAGACAATGGAAGGTTAGCAGAGGAATTGCATAAAGTTTCCTCATTGACTGATTCATCCCATTCTGAAGTTCCTTTTAATGCCCTCCAGTTAAACAAGAATGATTTTGGATCTGGATTTAAATGCAAGTTATGCAACTATGTAACAGCTAAGAATCAAATTCTCCATAGGCACTTGTTTGCAAAACATGGTTTGGGGGAAGGATTCAAATGCAATTTATGCGACTATGTAACTGGCGAACAAAGACAATTCAAAGTACATATGTTCTCTAAACATGGTTTAGGGAAGAGAGTAAAATGTGATCTGTGTGACTATGTTACTACTCGAAAAGACAATTTCCAACGTCACCTGTTTGCAAAACATGGTTTGGGGGAAGGATTCAAATGCAATTTATGCGACTATGTAATTGGTAGACAAACACAACTCAAAGTACACATGTTTTCTAAACATGGTGTAGGGAAGAGTGTTAAATGTGATCTGTGTGACTATGTAACAGCTCGAAAAGAAAGTTTCCAACGTCACCTGTTTGCAAAACATGGTTTGGGGGAAGGATTAAAATGCAATATATGCGACTATGTAACTGACATACAAACACAACTCAATGTACACATGTTCTCCAAACATGGTTTAGGGAAGAGTGTAAAATGTGATCTGTGTGACTATGTTACTGCTCGAAAACAAAACTTAGAACGTCACCTGTTTGTAGAACATGGTTTGGGGCAAGGATATAAATGTGATCTGTGTGACCATGTTACTGCTCAAATACAAAATTTCCGAAATCATTTGTATTCTAAACACGGTTTGGGGAAAGGATTCAAATGCAAGTTGTGTGATTATGCTGCTGGTAGTAAAGATCGCCTCAGCAGGCACGTTTTTTCAAAGCATGGTTTGGGAGGCTTGAAATGCAAGCTATGTGATTATTCTGCACGTGATGAACCTCGTTTGAATGAGCACTTGTTTTCTAAGCACGGGCTGGGTAAAGGATTTCAATGCAAGCTGTGTGATTATGTCAACTGTAGAAAATATGGCCTTGATAGCCACATGTTTTCTAAACATGGTTTAGGGAAAGGATTCCCATGTGAGTTTTGTGATTATGTTGCTGGTAGGAAATGTCATCTGACAAAGCACCTGAAATCAAAACATGTTCTGGATTATGAAAAATCTAATAGTACAAGTAGTGCTACTATGTCTGCTGACAACCCAACCTAAGCTTTGTTGAGGGGTTTGGTAAAATTCAGTTTGTGTGTAAAGGTTGCAGCTGGTAAATATCAGATGAAATGTGTACTGATTTATAGCAGTTATTTGGTTGAAGTATTCCATATTGAGTTTTCATGCCACAATCAAAATTTGAATGAGACTTGCAAACTATGCACCTTCCATGGCAAGAAATCAAGGTCTTGATGCTCTGTAATCTGGTCGGCCTTCTCATTTTGTGCTGGAATTTTTAATTTTAAATAGAATCTTATTTAGATGAGAAAATGTGAGTGAAGCAGATCAATTATTCTGCTCTTATAATCGGTACGTAGTTCAATACATTGAAATTTTCAAGATTATTTGAAATCAAGTACATGATCATTTTCATTACTCAGTTGGGGGAAGGGCCTCTCCAGTAATAAACTTCTTAGTGGCAACAATAGTAGCGTCCACTTGTAGGCTACTTATTTAAAGTTGCCAGATTGAAATATCATTTACCAGGTTGAATTTAGTTGAGGTTTGTGATAATGATTTCTTGATGTAAATTTTAGGATTACATATTTAACTTTGCATTTAAGTTACCCAATCTTCAGCTAGAGATAACACCTACTCCTGGAGTTGGAAGATAATATGTCTAAGATATTGTACTGATGATAAAATACATGAGATTTCATCTCATAATAATATGCATTCAAAAATTACTTTTAGAGACCACATGTACTATGTAATTTTTTATGTTACACATGTACTATGAATTTCTTATTTTATGTTAAAATGTTTGAAAAAAAAATTATTTTATAAAATTTTTCTTCAATATTAGAAAAAAATTAAATTTGTTAAATTATTTATTCTGTCAATTGATTCATGCATTGTCTCCAACTTTATGCAAGTGTGCAAAGTTTACGATTGATTGGACCTGTAGAAGTGTGCCAAATATGGATTATAAGATTTGTAGTAGACAAACAAACAACAAAAAGTAAAGTTAAGGATAAGTGTTGTAAATAATATGTGCTTTTTTGCTTTAATGTTCCTCAAGATCTGAGCTGGTTCATGTCATCTCCACGGACAACAGATATTGCGTCAGCCACAGTCTTGTGTTCCAAGACGAACCCAATTACCTTATCCTAGCAAACATTTGTGAGATGTTTAGGCACTTTATTTATTAATATCATTTACTTTAAAGGAGTAGTTCATCCATTGTTTTTAACCTTTCTACATTAAAAACAAGTGCTTGAAGGCAGTGCTTATTTTATTAAATGATATCCATGTTGTGGATTAGTGAACCAGAATGCCTATGAGCAGGAAGTGATTAATGCAATTGTGACAATTGTAATAATAATTAATCAGTAAATTAATCAATAATGAAATTTTTGACTGCTCACTAGTTCTATGACGTACTTCATTTAGTTATACTCTCTGTATCTGGGATTTTTATTACTAGTACAACAATGATGCAACTGAAATGCTTGCTTCCACCAGATTGTATTCGTAGACATCTGTAAAGTTGCCCTGGAGAGAATGAGCTAAACTTTCACAGGGTGAATGTGGGGGAATTCTAACTTGACTGCCATGGGTGACTTGGACCATTTTCAGCGCTTACCTTTTTGTGATGCAAATAATCATATAGTAAACATATAAAATAAATCTCTATGTTACCATTGTAGGTGATCTCGTGGTATTTTATGAGCCATCAACACAATTTCTCTAAAGCAAGAAGTTCTTGAGTTACAGGTTCATTTCTTATTGTCAAAAAGGTCCAAGTCATCTTGTTTAATCATAGATTCTACTTCTTCGTGTAGGTGGTATGTTTATTGCAAATGTTAACTTTTTCAGTTTCTTTTACACTGCCAACTTCTTTAATTTTATGATTTTTGTATGCGCTTGTAAAATTTACAGCATGTGTAGCAGCCTCCTGCAAAAATATGAAATTATGTTCAGTATGCAAGTATATTGACGTAAATAAATTTATTTTTAGGTATTCAAATTGCTTCGTAGTAATTTTTTATATTCTCAAGCAGATAATAATGCAATTATTGTGGGGGGTGGTTATTTACATACTCAAAATATATTTGGTTAAGAAGAGAATAAAGAATGTAATATTACCTATCATTATTGCGCCGTGGTTTATTATTTAAAGCCATGAATTTTTTCAACTGTGTTTCAAGATCTAAAACTAACATCTATATTAAGCCATGTTTTTTACTGGAAGCTGCAGTTCCATGTCTCTGACTAACCTGCTTATTATTAGGCCTTGTATTTCATTTGAAGCTCTGTGTATCTTTAACTTAATTTCTGTGTCTAGAACTAATATGCCTATTATTTGGCCTTGCTTTTATTTAAGGTTGTATGTTTTTTATTAAAAGCATCTCTGTGTAAGCACTAATATTTTTAAAATATAATATTTTTGTAAGTAATTTTTTATATAACCGCTGCATGTGTATGTCCAGGACTAATAAGTTTATTATTAGGTCATATTTTTTATTTGCAGCTGCATCTCTGTGTCACGTTGCTTGGTTAATATTCAATATTCTAAACCATACTTACTTAATAGACAAGGAGAATCTAATGTGGAATTGTTCAAGTTTTGTCCGTCATAAATTTGACTACAAATGCTCCAGTTGAGTTCAGTATTGTGCTGGAATTTGCAAGAAACTTCTGGGTAAATACAGTGCAGTGTTTACCTAGTACAGTACAACAGATGCTGTAGTATAATGCAGTGTTTACCTAGTACAGTACAACAGATGCTGTAGTATAATGCAGTGTTTACCTAGTACAGTATATACAGCAGATGCTGTAGTATAATGCAGTATTTACCTAGTACAGTACAACAGATGCTGTAGAGATTCTTCATAACATTCTCAATTTACTGAGTATATATTCCAGCTATAACTATTCTAGGTAATTTAAAATAAAATTTAAAAATTTTTCCAGCTCCTCTAAATCCCACTTAATGTTCAATGCCTTCCTCCATTTCTTTTCAATCCAACTTGTGTCCAAAATGCCAACTGTCATTTAGTTTCTTTCAAGCCCTGATTGTATTCATAATGTAAACTGTTATTCTCCATTTCGTCTAGATCCTAATTGTGTCATAAATTTAAATTGGTGAATCCTTATTGTATCAATAACCTTGTAAGCAATTTTCCTACCACAAAATAGCGTTTTTATTTGTTTGTGAAAAGGCATTGTTCTAATTAACTTTATATATTGTAACTAATACTATTGTAGCAGTGAGTTGTGGGTTTGATTCTAGCTTCCTGTAACAGTTCTGGTCAAGATCGGTGAGGTGGCCGGGTGGTTTAACACCGGATACTGGAGCAGTGAGTTGCTGGTTTGAGACCCGTAGCAAGCTGTGAAATTTTGTGATGTTCAGAATAGGCGAAAGAGGTAATGGCCAAATAATACACGCTGATACCACTCAGAAAATACAAAATCTTCGCGGTATTCAATGCATCTCATGTTCACCGCGTGCTGGGCTTCTCAGTGTCACCAGCACTCGTGCATCACTTCTCAAGAGATTCAAATTCAATATTCCAACCTTTGACAACTCTTCCAGACTTGAAGGAAGAGTTGGCAAGGAAGAATCCTTTACTGGAAATATACCATATGCATCTCAGACCAGACGCCGTTCATCTTGATCTTTTAGCTATTGGTCAGACCGCTGTTGCCGCCACATACAATATTGTTTGGGAGCAATGTTGTTTACTTTAATATAATAAGCGTCAGCATCTCGGATTTGGTCATGTTTTGCCTGTTGCAAATTCTTGATATTGCAGAATTTTCACAGCTAATGGCGATGTCACCACAGCAGATATGTTGCCAGTCATCAATAGAAACGATCTATTTTATAATTCAGTTGAACTATCAANGTGTGCATCTCATAATATTGATGATGCTGGCAGGTATGTGTGCATCTCATAATATTGATGATGCTGGCAGGTATGTGTGCATCACAGCATCAGACCAGCCTACCTTCATCTACACAATCCTCCATGATGGTGGTGTTGAGCCAGGCTATGTTGGCTTAAATGCCATCCAGCGCAAGCAGATCCTTGTTGCGCTTGATGAGGAGGTGTGTTGGCTGCTTTTGTTTGCATCCTTTTTCTAGCTTGTCCCAGTGGTGTGTCATTTGTACCTGTAAGCTAGATTATAAGTAAGTATTGCACTTCTTTGTTTCAACTGGCAGTGCTTGGAACATCCATAGATTCTCAAGAAATATATTATTGTTATTTCTCGAGGCCTGAATGGTGATGCGTGAAGTACTTCAAAAATAATCCGTCATAAGTGGCATCCAATTTCTAAGCATCATTTCAACTCAGCCATCTCAACTCTTGCCATTAATTCTGAAAACCTTTCCTCAGCTGGCCAATAGCAGCTGGTCAGTAATGACCAACTCATCCAGCCACCCACCAACTTTATCAAGTGCTCATTTTTGCTGCCTGTACACGGATGTAAGGTAACCATGGCTATGCCCGTGTACTGGCTATGCTGGTATAATGTAGCTATGGCTATGCCCGTGTACTGGCTATGCGGGTATAATGTAGCTATGGCTATGCCCGTGTACTGGCTATGCGGGTATAATGTAACCCCACGTGCACGGTGCCTGGGACCCCCACGTGCGCGGTGCCTGGGACCCCCACGTTCGCGGTGTCTGGTTTTGTTTGTGTTTTTAGACCTGAAGCACGTGACGAGGATATGGAAATGAAGTTGTAGTCATTGTAAGCGAGTGTGAAGCGTCCTTGTAATGTGGGACGTCGCTCTAGGGTGTTCGTCAGATCGGCTTACACCTAGCAGTCTTGAAATGCTAAGCCCCTTACGGACCTGATAAAAGTACAGCAGGTATGTCCATAGACCTATTTATTCAGCGCCGTAACGACAATACTATACTACTCTTATCTCCACAAATACTACAACATAGTCCACCTCAAAAACGTGGTGTGTTTTTACAAGCCTCGCTCGGCGCGCTATACCCGCCCAAGCCTCAGTCTGCTCCGTGTTGACATTTTGCGAGCATCGGTGCTACTCTTCCCTTCTCCAGGGATTAATCTTTTGGTGATATATAATTTTAGTTTATAAGCGTCTTCATCTATTCGCATTATTTATGTGCCAACCCTAGACAATCAGCGTGTCCAACCATTAGTTATATAATGTAAAATCTAGAGATCCATAGCTAGAGCGACTATTTCGATGCTGATCATAAACATGCCACCACTCGGTGGTTATTATACACAATGGCTTCCTAGCCCTTACCCTTCCTTGCGAATGTCTAGCCATATTTCATGATGTCTCCCTGTTAAACGAGAATTGTGTATATTAACGATGGCTCACCCTTTGGGGTGAGATCTAAAAACACCTCATGGTTTTGATCGATGCTTATGTATGATACCAAATTATGCCCCTTGTGCAGCTTTAATATCATTTAAAACCGGGCACTTTTCGAATTGTTTCTTGATACTTTATACGTTAGAATGTGATGACGTCAACGTAGTGTTTGCAGAAATTTATTTGCAATGCAATGCTTCAAGAAAACTATCAAGATATTGCGAGCCTCCACTCGTAGACCTGGTATATATTCGCACAAACCTCAATATATATATTCGATACCCCATTGATGCTCTTACGAAATGCACGGCCATCAATATCAACTGTTTATGTTTACCAACTATTGACGCTAATTCCTACAAGTTTTGTCTCGAAGCCGATAAAATCTTATAAGTTTCCAATGCTGCCAAATCAAGACTTTTAGTTGTGTAATAATCACCTTATCGTATGGTTTAATTCCTCGTTGATGAACCGCCACATCCATGTCATAATGTGCTGTATTATCATTTGCAGTGCATTGTTGATGAATTTCACCATTTAACTTGACATTCAATGTCTTCAATAGGGTGAGGAACATATGCGTTGATTGTCTGAAATCAGACTAAATTAAGATAAAACCCAAACAATATGATGCACTTGCCCCACTTAATGGTAATTTCAAAATTGCAATCGATATGTACTGCAAAGCCAAAAATTAGTATACTCCTCATATTTCCGACATTCCGGAAACTCTAAATTCTCCGTGATATACCATGGATCATTTGTTCGCCACGGCTGCGCTCCTCTCCGCAGAATCTTCACGGGAGAAGAGAATCGGAGAGAGTCAGCTGCGTTCATTGATTGAACATCTATTGCGTTTCGTCCATGATTGTGTAAAGTTTACTTGCAAATAATCATTTAAAAATCACTTATAATTTAATAATACTTCTATGTATACCGTGTATAGTGACGTGTATACCTTTACCCTACCCTACCATGAGTAATTATCCAATATAGTAGGGTAGTGGTACCTAGTACGACTCTGTACGAGTACCTATGTAGCATAGTAATGCAAGTTAAGAAATCATACATGTAAAAATTCCTGAAAAAAGTGTGAAAAGTGAGATATTTAAAAAGTACCTCTGCTCAGGTCACTAGCAAAAAATAATTTTTGCAGTACCTACATTAAAAAATTTTCCTCCTACAAAAAAGTTGCACACAGCAACACAGGTGCTGTCTTGAAAACATTATTGATGAAATTTGCATATCTCAATCCAAAAAATGGTGGCCATTCTGCAAGATGGAGTAACAAGAGACACCACCCACAGCCTGACCCAGGGTAATGAGGAACAACCCTAAAAATGCTAAGTTAGGAAATCATATTTTCAATACCTTTATTTTAAAAAATCCCTGAAAAAAAGTGTAAAAAGTGTACTTATGGTAATGTACCTGTGCTAAGGTCTGTAGCAAAAAAATATTACCGTATTACAAAATTTTACTTATAAAAAAGTTGCACATAGGTGTAGGCTTAAAAATGTGAGATTGACAGAATTTAGGAGAAATTACCAGCCAGGCACATAAGACTAACGTCTGTGGATGCTGCAGTTCTGTCGCTGGTGCTGCCTAGTAGCTGTCTTGCGGTTGCGGGGAGCCTGGGAGGTACTCATGCTGTCATTTTCTGCATCTGTGACTGAATTCTAGCTCAAGTAAGGCCTTGCCTTGTATCCTTGCTACCATAAATGCCTATATATAGCACGCCGCAGGGGCTCGAGGCTTTGTCACGCTCTCCTAAATATTCAGACTTATTGTCACTGCAAACCTATCTCCTAGAGTTTTTGAGCTACAGCAATGAGCAATGACTGAATGAGAGATATACCATTCGATTTGCAAAGAAAAGATCTAGAGATTGGTCTAGCATTTTTCAATTTTGTTGTACTTCTGAAAATATTTTGAAAAAGGGGAAATGGGAGTGGGAAAAAGAGGGAAATAAAAAATGTATTGAACAATTTAAGAAAAATGCCCTCACCACCTGCAAAAATTCAAATTAAAAAAAAGCTACCTACAACCAATCGATAGATATGGTTTTTAGGCATTGAATGATATGCGTCTCAATGATGTAGCTTGTAAATCCTAGGAGGAGATAAGATTTCTACAGTACCACCAATTTTGGCCATTTTCTAAGAATTTTACATCTACATCATACAATTCTACATCTACATTATCTACAAAGGTAGAGGAGGACTTCAGAGTACTGTTAGTAATGGATGAGTACACTCACCATGCTTCAAAGATTTTAAAATTAGGTTATATTTTTAGTGTCCCACAGTCCCAGATTACCCCATTCCAGGGGGTAATTCGGGACACTTTTATTTTACATCTGGCACCTTAGGAATAGCATACAAAATTTTCTTTGAAATCCCTTATAATAGCTCTCACAAAGAGATTTAAAATGAGCTCAAACTTGTTTATGAAATGTTTCATGGTAAGAAGTTGTTAACAAAAAACGCCCAAAACCGTTCTATATTACCCGTTTGACAGTACATTTACCTCACTCGGCAAAAAAAATCACTTAACAAAAAAGTAGTGCACATTGGTCATCACAAAATTGTGCATTGAGTGGCATCAATACGACTGTGCTCCGGGCAACATAGGATGAAAATAAATTGACCTAAACTACGATTTATTTCTCCAAAAAATATGATGGATGTCACTAAAATATTCTTTTCTGTTCCAGGTACGTTTTTTAATGATCTTACTTGACCCAATTAAAATTGTTCAAAATTACAAGCCCAGTCCTGTAAGCTTACAGATAAAGAGGAAATGTTATAGGTATGGCTGCTGTTATGAAGCTTACTGTGGACAAGGTTGTTGTCAACGCTCAATGACATGTCCATGGTTGCAGTAATATCACATCAATAATGCAGTAATGTATGGATATGGTAATATATCAATAAAGGATAATCAAGTACAAATCACAGAAAATGTCATTTATTTTTCATCTACAACATCTACAAAGGAAGAAGAGGACTTTGGAGTACTGTTAATAATGGATGAGTACACTCTGCATGCTTCAAACGTTTTTAAAATTAAGTTTTATTTCAATTGTCCCTAATTACCCCATTCCCAAGAGTAATTTGGGAGGCTTTTATTTCCTGTCTGGCAACTTACCAATAGCATATGAATTTTGCTTGGAGATGCCATACAATAGCCCTTGCAAAGATCTTTAAAATGAGCCAAACTCTTTAATGAAATGTTTCATAGTAAGAAGTTATTTACAAAAATGCTCAAAACAGTCCCTTATTACCCTGTTTGATGGTACTTATTTGATCTTGAATTGCTTACAGATACTCTTCCTGCTTGGTTCAAGTTGGTTATTGCTGGATATCTTATTGCTTCTAGTGTGTCTCAAGAAACCTCATACTTATATACCCCCACATTAATCTCATGGCATACAGTATAAAAGAGTGCAGAGTTGCTCTGCACCAGCTCTCAGATGCTGCAGTCAGGAGTGGCTGGTGCCCTGAGCAGAGCATCGTTCAAGCAGCAACTGACGTGTGCAAACTCGAGCCTGAAGGTATGCTTCACAACTGGTGCTTGCAAGTATATTTTATTTGTGAATCTGGAAGATGTTATACTTTGTTGACATTCATGATTTTATTGTTCATTTCATTGTTGAACCAAATCCCTTGGCAGTTTGGAAAGTAAGTTGGTGATGACAACTTTCAGCTATCAAATATCCAATTATAAGATATATTTACTCCTATGAATTTCCAAAAATTTTGCATATTGAAACAGAAAATTGCAGTTGAAAAATTTATTTAATAAGGTCACTATGCTAAAAAATGTTATATTTTCAATCATTCAAATGTATAGAGTAGCTATTTAGTCTTAATTTAATTCAATATGATCAATTTAATTTGATTGATTGAATAGATATTACTATTTCCATCTTTTAAAGATGTGAAAAGCCTCAATTTCAATGTCCAAGTCTAAATGTTCATTTAAATGCCATATTTAATTCTTGGACATGGTAGAGGTGATGCTATGAATGGAGTGAAATGATGGGCAGATAATAACTGGTGATTGGCAGAGGCATAACCCAGCAGGCAATGTCAGGCTGAGACAATGTTGAAACAACATACTTTAAATGTTGAAATAACATTGAATGTTTGTCCAGAATAAAGAGTGAATCAACATAATTTTTTCAACATCGCACATTTTTATATAGTTTAAATGTTGAAAATGCATTGAATTCCAATGTTAAACAAGCACTTGTAAAATGTGTGTATCAGGTTAACATGTTCCATCAAGAATGTCACAGTATTCAGGCAATTGTTGATGCAACATTGAAAAAAATGATGTTGATTCACTTTTCATTCTAAACTAATAATTGACGGGATTTTAATGTCCCAAAGTGCATTGTTTCAACATTGCTTCAGCCTGACGTTGCCTGATGGGAATACTGTAGCCTCAACCACAAACTGGAGGCTGTGGTGGGATCGTTTGGGAGGCAATTTCAAGTGATCATATAAGAGTATCTTGCTGGCTGAAGGGTTGAGGAGGCAGTTAAGATGGCTTAAGTCCAGTGTTATGTGATTTTCTTAGCTGCAAGTAGCCTCATGCTATTAATTCCTGTAAATTTCATCCAGCAATGGAGGGCAGCAGCTCATCCCTACCCTCCATCGTGACAGTTTACATCAAAGAGGAGCCTGAAGATGAGGGAGAGGACATAACTGTGAAGGATGAACCACTTTGCAGTGAAGAATATGAGGTGATATTTTTAACAAGATTTGTAAGCTTGTAATTTAATTTCACTCAATACTTGCATGAATGTGCTAAATTATTATCTCAAACAGAATTTGGATGTAACATATTTTTACAGTACCAAAGCAAAAGTTTACACAGAAATGAGCTTATGAACAACCTTATAAAGAATTTTTATTATAAGTAACTATTCATGAATTGCTAATAAATGTTATTAAATTAAGGTATTTGATTCACATTGTGTTGTTCTGTGAATCTTGTATTAAATATTTTAATTTAGTATCTATGGTATAATTCTTTTTCAGTTAGGTTATTTTCTGGAGCTTTTTATTTTATGAATTTCATCCAAATCCATGCATGGGAACTAATGTCCCTGCTCATGATGAGCTGACCAGCAAACTCCACTTCCCTCATCTTGCAAGCCATGAAAGAAAGAGGTTCAAGTTGAGGCTCACGAGGCCTGCACCAGCGCCTCACAGTACACTGCTGCAGTGCCTCATAAGCAGGTTGGTAGAGCTGGTTTCTCAGTACAAATAAATTGCTGAGGAATTGAAATGCTGATGATCTGTCTGCTTTGGCTGTAGTGTGAAATTTCATCTCTTCAGCTCTTATTTTTAATACATTTCTCATTTGTTAAACAATTTATATTCTCAATTCTTATGTTCTCCCATCCAAAGTTCTTGACTCATTTTCTGATAAAATATCTGCCTGTTTAATCTAAGCTTGTTGTTAGTATTACATTGAAGGTTTGAAATGAACAGAACTTCTGTGGCATTATATACCTTCTCTATTAATGTATGTTGCAATGGTGTTTATTTCTTGTATACCAGTATCTTGTTTTTCAGATTTTTTTTGTTCTTCTGTATAAATAAATTAGAGTTGGGTAAGTTTTTCTATGTTCGGAATGTATATGAATTCACACTTTCTTTCTGTTTATTTTACAGATGAATTCTTTCTATATAATCCTCGCATCAGGTATCCAAAAATTGTTCTGTAAAAGATGTATATACATCAGACAAGACTTGAGACATTGTTTATGGTCTTGCACTGACAGAAGTTCTGTGATATGATGATGTCATAGGTATCTATTACTATTGCCAAGATGATTTTTGCTTTTATCATAAATGTTCTAATGTACAAAATTGATATAATTCAAGCTTTTTTTGAATTCTGTCTACATGAAAAAGTGTAGAAGACAATGATAATTTTATCTAATATACGTTTGAACACCGCCCTAATTTTATGACTTGAGTTCATTGCCTGATTTGAAAGAATTGCTCACATGAACCTGCTCTCCGTCTCCAGGATGTCTTGCCTTGCAATGCCCAGAGCAACATTGGACAGGATGAGTGGACGGCAGTTTCTCCAGAAAACAAGGAAAAAAATATTTCTGTTGCTGAGAAAAATATTTCTCCAGTGCCCAATAGAGCAGCTTTAGTCCAGGAAGTTCTCTTTGATCAGCCTGTGGCTGAGTTCAAGTCTTTTGAGTCAAACTTGTCCAACAAAGACAATGGAAGATTAGCAGAGGAATTGCATAAAGTTTCCTCATCTGCTGATTCATCCCATTCTAAAGTTCCTTTTAATGCCCTCCAGTTAAACAAAAATGATTTTGGATCTAAATTTAAATGCAAGTTATGCAACTATGTAACGACTATGAAACAAAATCTCCATAGTCACTTGTTTTCAAGACATGGTCTGGGGGAAGGAGCCAAATGCAAGTTGTGTAATTATGAAACTGACAGACATGAACATCTCGAAATTCACATTTTCTCTAAACATGGTTTAGGGAAGAGAGTAAAATGTGATCTGTGTGACTATGTTACTACTCGAAAAGGCACTTTCCAACGTCATCTGTTTGCAAAACATGGTTTGGGGCAAGGATTTAAATGTGATCTGTGTGACTATGTTACTTCTCAAACACAAAGTCTCCGCAATCACTTGTTTTCTAAACATGGGGTGGGGCAAGGATTCAAATGCAAGTTGTGTGATTATGCTGCTGGTAGTAAAGTTTTTCTTAGAAGGCACCTTTCCTCAAAGCATGGTTTGGGAGGCTTAAAATGCAAGCTATGTGATTATTCTGCACGTGATAAATCTCGTTTAAATGTGCACTTATTTTCTAAGCATAGGATGGGTAAAGGATTTCAATGCAAGCTGTGTGATTATGTCAACTGCAGAAAAGATCTCCTTGATAGCCACATGTTTTATATACATGGTTTAGGGAAGGGATTCCCATGCGAGTTTTGTGATTATGTTGCTGGTAAGAAACGCTATCTAACAAAGCACCTGAAATCCAAACATGTTCTGGATTATGAAAAATCTAATAGTACAAGTAGTGCTACAATGTCTGCTGACAATCCAATCTAAACTTTGTTGAGGGGGTTTGGTTGAATTCTGTTTGTGTGTAAGGTTGCAGCTGATAAATATCAGATGAAATGTGTACTGATTTATAGCAGTTGTTTGGTTGAAGTATTCTATATTGAGTTTAGTTGCACTGCCGCAATCAAAATTTGAATGAGACTTGCAAACTATGCACCTTCCATGTCAAGAAATCAAGATCTTGATGCTCTGTAATCTGGTCGGCCTTCTCATTTTGTGACAGAATTTTTAATTTTAATAGAGTCTTATTTAGATGAGATAATGTGAGTGATGCATATCAAGTTTTGTTCCTACTCATATAATCGGTAATTCAATACATTGAAATTTACAAGATTATTTGTTCTAAGCTCTTGGTCATTTTCAGTACTCAGTTGAAGAAAGAGCATCTCCAGTAATAAACTTCTTTGTGGCAACAATAGTAGCCTTCATTTATAAGCTACTTATTTAAAGTTGCCAGATTGAAATAACATTTACTAGGTTGAATATAGTTGAGGTTTGTGATAATGATTTCTTAATGTAAATTTTAGGCTTACATATTTGACTTTGAATTTAAATTACCCAATCTTCAGCTATAAATAACATTTGAAAGATAATATCTCTTGAGATATTGTACATATGATAAAATACATGAGATTTTATCTCTATGCATTCAAAATTTACTTTTTACAGACAACTCTCCTAAAGAGGCCATTGTCTCTGATGTTACACATGTAGTATGAATTTCTTATTTTATTTTCAATATTTGAAAAAAAAATTATTTTATAAAATTTGTCTTTATTATTAGAAAAAAAAATTACATTTTAAAAATTATTTCTTCTGTCAATTGATTCATGCATTGTCTCCAACTTTATGCAAGTGTGCAAAATTTCAGATCGATTTGACCTGTAGAAGTGTGTTAAATATCGATTATAAGATTTTTAGCAGACAAACGAACAAACAATAGCTAAAGTTATGGAAAAGTGTTGTAAAAATATGTCCTTTTTTGCTTTAATGTTCCTCAAGATCTGAGTTGGTTCATGTCATCTCCACGGACATCAGATATTGCGTCAGCCACAGTCTTGTGTTGCAAGAGGAACCCAATTACCTTATCCTAGCAAACATTTGAGAGATGTTTAGGCACTTTATTTATTACAGATGCTGTAGAGATTCTTCATAACATTCTCAATTGACTGAGTACATATTCAAGCTATAACTATTCGTGGTAATTTTAAATAAAATTGGATTTTTCCAGCTCCTCTAAATGCCGCTTTATGTTCAATGCCTTCCTCCATTTCTTTTCAATCCAATGTGTAGGTATTAAATGCCAACTGTCATTTAGTTTCTTTCAAGTCCTGATTGTATTTACAATGTAAACTGTTATTCTCAATTTCTTCTAGATAAGAATTGTGTCGTAAATTTAAATTGGTGAATCCTTATTGTATCAATTACCTTGTAAACAATTTTCCTGTCACAAAATAGCATTCATTATTTGTTCATGAAAAGGCATTGTTCTAATTAACTATCTATATTGTAACTAATATTTTTGTAGTGGTGAGTGTTGGGTTTGATTCTAGCTTCACGTGACAGTTCAGGTCAAGATTATCGAGGTGGATGGGCGGTTTAACACCGGATACTGGAGCAGTGAGTTGTGGGTTCGAGACCCGTAGCTAGCTGTGAAATTTTGTGATGTTCAGAATAGGCGAAAAGGGTAATTGCCAAATCTTACTCCCGCTGATACCGCCCCAAAAATATAAAATTCTACGCGATATTCAATGCATCTTATGTTCGCTGCGTGTTAGGCTTCTTAGTGTCAGAGCTCATGTATCACTCATCATATCATCGGCAACAGGCCATGGGCCTATTTCTTCAACGCCGACACTTCTATTCTGTTCTATCACTTCTCTAGAGATCAAAATTCAATTCTCCACAGTTTGACAACTCTCTCAGACTTGATAATTGCAAGGAAGAATCCTTAACTGGAATCATACTATTCGCGCTTCAGACCAGACACCGTCCAAGTGTCATTTTGATCTCCCTAATTATGGGCCAGGCCGTAGTTGCTGCCGCAAACTACATTATTTGGGAGCAATGTTGATTACTATAATATAATCTATTTGTGTCAGAATCTGAGATTTGATCATGTTTTGCCTGTGGCCAATTCTTGATATTGCTGAATTTTTACTGCTAATGGCGATGCCTCACTCTTAAGCTGCCACAGATATGTGGCGACCATCAATAGAAACGATCTGTTTTATAAGCAAAACTGAACCAAAACTTTCTGGTGCGATCAAAACAGCTTATTGATCATCATGTGGTGATCGGCCCCTACAAATAGTAGTTTTAGTCGCCGATTTATTGCAGTTGTGAAGATTCCTCCATGTGGATTACGACAGGATGGCGATGGTTGCTGCACGACTATGGGCGGACTGACCAATGATGTAGAAGATCCTATAAGAAAGGAATTAAATAATGTTCATGAGTTTGATGAACACGTTGTGTTTATTTGCTAGAAATACACAAATACTTCCCTTACATGGAATAGTTGCATTTTATGTATGGCATCAAGGTTACCAGACGTTAGCTCGAAAAAAAAAACGACCAAATCCGACATAGGCTTAAAGGACTTGTTTAGACCGTATTTTTCAATGACACAAACTACTTAACGTTCAGTTGTCGCGGTCAAACACTTGAAAGACTCTTATTATATCAAGAACACAATTTTGTTTCTGTTTGTGAAATATAGAACGCTTCGTTTAGCCGAGAAATTTTTAGTGTTAAGATAATATGAGAACCTAAAATAATGATGATGTCTGAGCTCAGTTCTGAAGGCATTAATAAGAGGTAGAACACAACAGATTAATTAACACAACCTCGAAGACGAGGCTGCCAGAGCGGCAAGAGACAACTGCAAAAACAGCTCGGATATAAAGGCTCCGTATTAAAGATTCATCAGTTAATTCGAAATTGCGGGTGAAGTTATCAGTCATCAAAAAAAGTATTTTTTTAATTGAAAATGCTTTATTTTGATCCCTTCATGAATTTTCGCTGACCAATGCAACTTAATGAGTAAACAGAACCTCTAATTTGGCTGGAAATCAACCCATCTGGCAACCCTAGAGAGTAAATATGCTACAAAAAATAGTGCATCACACCATCTTGTACATGCAAACTATTCATGGCACCGCACAAATTTTGAAGCTACTACCCAGTCAGAAATCGCCGCAGTCTGGAAGCCAGCCGCGGGTGAACTTGCCTGCGCCAACGCTCGCCCCAGCGCAACGCCAGGGAGATCAACAGCGCAGGAATGTCCACAGCAGCGCAATATTGTGGCAGCGCTTCTCGGCCTGGAAAGGGCCTGCTGCCGCAGTCAGTCTAATGTTGAGGGAAACTCCTCGAAGCAACATTATTATCGGTAACCGTTAGCCTATACATAAACTGATGGAGATCTAGCCCTATGCCGTGATAGTATCACCGCCTGACTATACGCCAGAAAATATTATACACAACTCATTACACAGACAAACCGCCATTGCCATGAAAATGAGCGGCACATCAAACTAAAACGACAAAACCCGCGGTGAACCACCGTTCACCGCGGTGCAAGGGGATGTGGGGACCACCGCGCATGTGGGGACCACCGCGCATGTGGGGACCCCCACATGCGCGGTGCCTGGGACCCCCACATGCGCGGTGCCTGGGACCCCCCCGTGCGCGGTGCCTGGGACCCCCCCGTGCGCGGTGCCTGGGACCCCCACGTGCGCGGTGCCTGGGACCCCACGTGCGCGGTGCCTGGGACCTCCACATGCGCGGTGCCTGGGACCCCCACGAGCGCGGTGCCTGGGACCCCCACGTGCGCATGCCTGGTTTTGTTTATGTGTTGTTAGACCTCAAGCACGTGACGTGGATATGGAAGTGAAGTTGTAGTCACTGTAAGCGAGTGTGAAGCGTCCATGTAATGTGGGACGTCGCTCTAGTGTGTTCGTCAGATCAGCTTACAACTTGCAGTCACGAGCATATGTTTAGTCTTGGAGCATATGTTTAGTCTTAAAATGCCTCGTATCCTACGGAACAACTGAAATCTAGAAGCAATTTTAAATCTGCCGTCCGTTGAGAAGATTTTATAAAAATGCCAGTCTAGTCAAGAAATGTACAAGAATCAGCGACAGGCCTATTCTTCAAAGCCGAAGATACTACCTATACTATGCCAAATGCTAAGCCCCTTACGGACCTGATACAACTCCAGCAGATATTTCCACAGGCTAATTTCTTCAGCGCCGTAATCACAATACTATACTACTCTTATCTCCACAAATACTACAACATAGTCCACCTCAAAAACGTGGTGTGTTTTTACAAGCCTCGCTCGGTGCGCTATACCCGCCCAAGCCTCAGTCTGCTCCGTGTTGACATTTTGCGAGCATCGGTGCTACTCTTCCCTTCTCCAGCCTGGATTAATCTTTTGGTGATATGCAATTTCAGTTTTAAGCGTCTTCATCTATTCGCATTATTTATGTGTCAACCCTAGGCAATCAGCGTGGCCAACCATTAGTTATATAATGTAAAATCTAGAGATCCATCGCTAGAGCGACTATTTCGATGCTGATCATAAACATGCCACTACTCGGTGGTTATTATACACAATGGCTTCCTTGCCCTTTCCCTTCCTTACGAATGATCAGCCATATTTCATGTCTCCCTGTTAAACGAGAATTGTGTATATTAACGATGGCTTACCCTTTGGGGTGAGATCTAAAAACACTTCATGGTTTTAATCAATGCGTACATATGATACCACATTATACCCCCTGTGCAGCTTTAATATCATTTAATAACTGGGTAGTTTTTTAATTGTTTCTTCATATGTTAGAACGTGATGATGTTAACCGTAGTGACTGCAGCAATTTATTTGCAATGCAATGCTTCAAGAAAACTAACGAGATATTGCCAGCCTCCACTCGTAGACCTGGTATAAATTCGC